CGAACCAGCAACGCCTCCTACGTGGTCGCCCGCAAGGACGTCCAGTATTTTCCCAGCTCCCTGAGCTCCTTCACCCCGAACACCTCGAGGGTGGCCCGAATTCCCTTGACCAGCGGGTCTGACTTCCTGGACCCCGATTCGATCAAGGTGGGCTTCAGGGTGCAGAACAACGACGGCACGCTGGCCCTCCAGCCCGCGCTGGTGGATCCCGCGTGCTTCGTTAAGCGTGTTCAACTTTTTGCCAATGGTCAGAGGGTCGAAGACGTGCAGGAATACGGCCGCTGCATGTGTCTCTACTCCTGCCTGAAACCGAAAGAGTGGTGGGACAACCGCGGCGTGGAGGGCTTCCACACGCAGAACGACATCTTCACTCGGCCCGAGATCATTCCGGCCACGCGATACCGGGACGTCCTCATGGCCCCGTCCCTGCTCGGCCTCTTCAAGGCCGGCAAGATGCTCCCGCCAGAGCTTAACCTGGTTCTCGAGATCGAGTTTGCCCCGCCGGCCGAGGCGGTCAGGCCTGGTGATGCCGGCTCCGTCGACTACGAGATCCAGAACGTGCGCGTGCTGGCCTCGCAGGTCACGCTGGACTCCGCCCTGGTCGAGTCCTTTCGCCGCGTGCTCCTGTCCTGTCCGGCAGATCCCTGGTGTTCAGCTTCCCATCCATGCACACCCAGGTGTCCTCGATCCCCGGCGCGGCCACCAGCCACAACGTGACCGTGGCACGCGCTTTCACGAAGCTTCTGGGCGCTTTCGTCACGTTTTACAACTCCACAAGCGCGGAAGGTCCTGTGCGGGACCTGCGAAACCCCAGCCAAACCGAGGGCGTTGAAGGCACCATGGAATCGCAGATGCAACTGGGATCGCTCCAGTATCCCCACAACCCCATGTCCTCGACGGCCGAGCACTTCCACTTCCTCTCGATTCTCGCTCACACTATGACTCCAGCATCAAGAACATGCGCATCAACACGGACACCTACCGCTTCAGAGAGTTCATCACGGCATTCCCTACGGAGAGGGTGCCGGCATGCCACTGAGCGGGATCTCCACTATGGAAAAGATCTGGCGATTTGGCCCGCTTCAGCTTCAAAAACTTGGCTGCCGACGCGGTCGACCGCATCTACCTGCACTTGCTGAGCTACCAGGTGGTGACCCTGTCGGGAGCCAGAGTCTCAGTCCTCGACTGACGCGACGCGCTGATAGTATTCGAAAGCTCTATCACCGGCAACATCTTGAACGACGGCCAGACGACCGAAACCAGCGGCATCACCGCAGGGCAGCTGGCTACCGTCTTGACGGCTTCTACCCCGTTGACGGACACGGCCGCAGCCGTCACAGCTCTACAGGCTCAGCTGGGCGGCCTGTCCGCAGCGCCCGACCTGGCTCCCTACGCTCTGGCCGCCGACCTCGCGGCTGCCAAGGGTTCCATCGCCGCCAACCAATCATCAATCACGGCCCTGAACACCAGCCTAACGACGAGACTGGCCGGGAGGCCAACCAATCGGCTTTGGATGCTCTCCAGCTGGATGTCGACCTACGGCTTAAAAACCGTCACGGACCATCTCGCCTTGGATGTAGCTGCGACCAAAAGATTGCCACGGCCTTGCTGCCCTACACCGACACTTCCGGCCTCAACGCCACCGTGCCTTGAGGACCACTCCGGCTGACGTGGACCAAAAGATAGCCAACTTCCGGCCTCAACGCCACCGTGGCTTTGAGGACCACGCTGGCCAACGTGGACCAAAAGATAGCACCCTCTTGACCTCCGTGCACCGGAGACCTGGCGAACTATGCCACAGCACGGACCTCACCGCCACAGAGACCAGCCTACAGTCGGCCATCGACGCTATTTTGGCCCAACTGCCCGTCCTCAGCACGGGCGGCGGGAACAACTTGATCAACGCGCAAAAGTCACCTGGGACCTACTGGTGCGCACCAACACTCTACGGAAAACCTGCACAACGCGTGAGCCTGTAGAACGACAGTTTCACTTTGTCTCTGATCTGCGACAAAGTGACTTAAGTTGTTCGCAGCCCTTTCAGCTGCAACGGCATCGAAGCTTGACGCGTATAGCCTCCCATGTCCATGGAGAGTGTGGAAATTGATGCCCATGGAGGCTATCAACACCTCTTCATGCTAGGTGCAAGTGTTTGAAAGAGTTTCGGGAACAGACGTTTTTGTTTTCTCCTTGCTTGGTGTGCCTTTTGCAGTGCAGAGAAGCAGCAGAGTTTTCACGA